CATGTTAATTCATCCTGAACCTAATGAATTCTGTTAAGACGAGAAGAAACACACAGCTTCTTCTATATTAATCAGGACCAACTGTAAGAGATTAAATCTGATGACCAGAAAATAGAGCAGTCGGTGCAAATCTCTGCAGTTTGCCTGCAGGTAAATTTCATTGCATTAAACCAAATTCACCAATGAAAGCAATTATTTTTCTGTAATATTTTCCCCCCGAGAGTAATTGCAAATGATTCATGTAGCAAATCAACAGACCCTAAAAATGAACTGAAATGTTTTATTGTCAATAAAGCACTATTTCTGTAAAGGTAATTGAATAGCAAACCAACAAGCATGCATATATATGTATGTATATATATATATATGTGTGTGTGTGTGTGTGTGTGTGTGTGTATGATGTTTTATTACTGTATGATTTTTAGCATGCCCATAAAAGTTCTTTGCATTCCTTAAGTTGAGGAAAATCCAACCACATAAAGTAGTTTTTCCCAAGAACATACTGTAGCATCTTTGTGACCTCCTTGCTCACCCTCTGCAGAAGAGAGTATAGCGTTCAGTTTCCCCACTGCACTGGACGGAGTTCAAAACCAGTGGCATTCAGTGTTACCCATCTGCAAGCTCCAGAGCTTCCTCCTTCCTACCAGTTTCCATATGCTCTCCAGAGTCTCAATCCCCACTCTCCGAAGCTAGGAAAGTGGAAATTGTCCTCAGACAGCACTGAAAGTAACTAGAGGAGCAATTATTAGCATGTGCAATTGCCTGACAACCTCTGGTCATACATGGAACTGCTCCAGCAAAAATTTCCGGCCTGAATGACAACAGGATCTGCTTAGGAGGAGAGGAAGCTCTGAAGCCTACAGAATATGACCTTGCTTCTCCTCCCCAACTTCCCTGCTATGCAATGCCCTAGTCTGCGCACCCACCCCTCCCTCAGCTGCCCCTGTGCAGTCTCCTGGTCTGACTTCTTTCCACTCACCCAGATTCCCAGTTAAGCAATGATCTAGCCCAGAGACCCTTCCCTTTCCAAGCTGCGTAACTGTTCAGTGCCTTGGCCTGGGTGCCACCTGCCCGCCCTGCATTATCTCTCCAGCTTCACATGGGCAACTGAAATCCTTCACATGTATCCTGATTATATTTCTATTTCTGTGAAAAAGACCATATCAAAAAGCAACTTGGGAAGGAAAGGTTTATTTACGTTACTGTTTATTTGGTTTACATCATGAAGGGAAGTTAGGGCAGGAACTCAAGGTAGAAAGCTAGACACAAGAACTGAAGCATTTGCCATGGAGGAACACTGCATACTAACTTGCTTTCCCTAGCTCGCTCAGTCTGCTTATTTTTTATGATGGCTATTTCATATTGTAATTTAATTATACTGTTTCTTCCTTTCCTTTCCTTCCTCTGAACTCTCTAATATACCCTTCTCTACTCTCCTTCAAATTCATAGCCTCTTTTTGCCACCGGTTGTTATTACATGCATATATGTATTTTATATACATATATATTGCTAAATATAAACTGTTGTAGAATATTGCTACATGTATGTCTGTTTTCAGGGATGACCATTTGGCAGGGGACAACTAGTTAGGGTGCTCTTCCCTGAGGAGGGTCACTTCTTTAGTTCTCCGCTTTTCTCACTTACTTGTAATTCTTTGTGTAGGATGGGTTTTTCCTTATCCAATTTGGCATAGTCAGCTTTTCTATACTTCCAGGACCACCTGTTCAAGACAACAGTAACCACAGTGGTTGGGTCTTCCCACATCAACTGATAATTCAAAAACGAATGCCCCAAAGACCTGCCTATAGACCAATCTGATAGAATCATTTTCTCAATTAGGTTCCTCTTACTCTAGCTTGATTCAAGTTGACAAAAAGAACTAGAACAATTTGGAAGAGTCATCCCACCAAAACACAGCCAACAAAATTACACAAGCTAGTAATCGTCCCTCAATAATAACCATCGACAAAAACTTAGCTCACAAATACAGATGTAGAGCATGTTACTAAGTTCGAAATTAAATTTAAACTGTTATTAACTACAGAAATGACTCTGGTTTGGCAAAGACTGCTGCAGAGTGGAAGTCAATCCAGTAAGCAAACAAAGGCAAAAAGGCATAGCTGCTCTGATATATGATAAAAATAGACATGCAGCAAAAATAGTCCAAAGAGATAAAGAAGGCCACAAAATATTAAGAAATGGAATACTTCATCATTGTTATGTAAGTATTACAAATATATGCACAACAAATATTGGGCCTCCCACTTTTATAAAACAAACACAATGGACATGAGAGGTCACACAGATCCTGAAATAATATTAGTGGGTAGCATTAATGCTCCCACATCATATTTTTTAAATTGTTCATTATTACTATTGTGTATATGTATTATGATGACTGGGGTGGGAATAACATGTGAAATTTACGGACCACTTGTGAAGTCAGTTCTTTCTTTCACCTTTACCAAGGATCTAGTGCTCAAACCTAGGTTTCCAGGTTTGTTTTACAAATACCTTTACTTGATTTACTTCAGTTCCCTTAACTTTAAATAGGTCATACTAACTAAATTTTTAAAAAATTTAAAAATTCAGTTGAAGTAGAATTTAGTCTAGTGATCTCAACCAATATTCCCAGAATATTTCATCCAACAGATATGGAATCCACACTCTCAGCAGACCATAGACCAAGGATGAAAGTCAGTTGTACTTGTAGACTCTTCTTTCCAGTCACTTATGTTGGGGTTAGCCCATGTTGGACAAGCATTTGGTGTCTACCATAGGTGTTAGTATATTAGTAGATTCCCTTCTATGTGCATCTGTGTGGCATTAATACTAGCAGCCAGTCTTAGCTCGCAGATGCTCCCTCCACCTTACAAGGCTCCTCAGATTGTATCCTCTGCCGTGCTGATAGTCTAGCTGAGAGGTGTACTCTAAATGTGCTAGGGGAAGCAACAATACTGCAAAGGCAGAAGAGGCATTACGCTTTGGAGATCTCTCCAGTATTAATTACCCTGTTGACTTTCCTACTGGAGCTTCATAATTTTCAGAGTCTACAGCAGTAAATGTTAGAAGGGTGGCTCTAGAGATTGACCCACATGCTGACGTCAGGCTCACAGTTCTCAACTCCAAAGTATACAATTACCCTCAGTTGATGCGGTCTGTTTCATGTCACCTAGATGGAACTGCCCTTCCACACACAGTTCACTTCCTGAGCGGAAACCTCTTCTGCTCTCGCTTGTTTGGTTTGTTACTCTCCATCATGGCCACTTTACCATGGCCAGCTGTTACCCTAATATAGGGACTAGTTAAGTTGAGCCTCCAGATTAGCGATTGTTCCCCATCTGCTGGCCCCACGTGTTAACTCATTTTCAAACAATAGGTTCCCTCTCAAGATGGTACTATCTGAGACAGTTAGAGTGATAAAATGGGGTTCCTTTCCAGTACTGACCTATTTCCTAAGACATCACTGTCTTGTCAAAACTCGCAACTGGATTTGAAGTTTGTCAGGGATGTGAGCTTGTCTAAAGCAAATCTTTCACAAGGATGTCCTGTTACCTTCTGGATGAGAACTCATTTTCTATTCTTTCACACAAATGGAGATGTCTTGTGTTTGGCTTATTTCTACTCATGGTATCCCTTTCTTCTTTCTTTGCAGTTTTCAGAAGTTCTGTATTGGTCTTTGTACAGTTCCAGCAATCACTCTGTCTTTGGAATACAATCTTTTTCTTTCTTCACTCATTCTTTCTCTTCACCAAGTCATACAAAGGGAATTTCTTGTCTACCATCTTATCCAGAATTTTAGATGTTAATATTTTAGTCTTCCACAGGTGATATTGTAGAAATATAGATAATGAATACTGTATCCAAAGTGTTTGGGGCAAATTTTTCAGATTTACTTGGGTTTTTTTTGTAATATTTATGTATACCTAAGATAATTTGGGTGTGGGACCCCAGTATAATTACATAGTATGTGTATGTATTCCTTATACACATAACCTGAAGATGTAACAAAATTTTCAATGCACACAAACCTGTCACAGAAAGTCAAGTGTCATACTTCCAATGATACTTTCCTGTTGACATCAAAAAGTTAGGCGATGCTTTTACTATTCGACATATTCACCCTATATTAAAAGTCTTCTCTTGAAGATGAAAAATCCATAATTGTCTCCACTAAACACTCTGATAAATTTTAAATCATGTCTGAAAAGGTTTGATTACTGATATATAAAATAAAATTAACAGATTCTAGAAATGTAACATGCATTTTAGAGGGAATAATTATTCATTAAATTCTAATTTTGTTGATAATAATGCTTAGATGGACTTTCATACCAGTGGATTTCATATGCATATATTCTAATAATCAATGATTGAAAATAGTGAGGTAAGACCAAACTGAGTCTTTACAGAACATGTTCAAACTATTTTCTCATTATTTCCTCAACTACTTACACAGAATTTTCATTTTGTTAGGCATTATATTATAAAATATAGAGATGAATTGGATTTAGGTAAAAATAGCTAAAGTTTATATGTAAATATTGCATCATTTACATTTGTTATCTATAGAGGATTCTGAACAAATCCCCTATGAGATTTTTCAAAAAAAGCTATAGTGTGTGAAATTCTTGCACAACATCATCTAATGAAACACTCAGTAAATATAAATTTAGGATGATGATGCCAATGATATTACAGAAAGAAATGCATCAAAAAATCTATGTAAGCAAAGTACCCTTCTGCTGGACTTTTGATGTGTACTAACCTTATGAGGCTAATATTGCCCAAAGGACTAAGTCTCTAAGTTAAATGATAACTCAGTAGTGTAGTCATGTAATATTCACAGGCCTCTGTGACTTTGAATTTTCTTCTTTTTCCATTTGAAATTAAAATCATTTCAGCACTTCCACCTGTCCTGAACTCTTTCCAATGTCAAAGCCAGAAATATGATGTAAATGAGGTTGTCTCTTTTGTTCTCTTGTCTACTGTCATGTAGGACACAGATCTGATGACCTTCAACATCTCTGTACACCGGTCGTGGTGGAGAGAACATGGACCTGGCTGTGTCCGGAGAGTGCTGCCCCCATCGGCCCATGGCATGATGGATGACTACACCTATGTCTCAGTCACAGGCTGTGTCGTCGATTTCCAGTACCTAGAGGTCATCCACAGTGCTGTACAGATACTGCTATCTGTAAGTCTCACTTTTGGATTATTGTCCAATAGAAAGTCTTCTTTGTTGACATCTTATATCTGCAGCCTGGCACATAAGGCCTCATATAAGCACACAGAAAGCATTAGCCACAGAAACAGTGGCAATCGTGGAGTCTTTAATGATACATATTAAATGGACTTTTTCCAGTTAATTTTCTTCACATAGACATTTTGTTTAGGACCAAGTCGTTACTATGGTTTCCACTTTGAGACACAACCTGCACTACACAGTGGAATAATATCATCACCACCCAAAGTGGTCCATTATCCACTAAGTACTGCAAGCTGCGCTCCTAATGCATTCTTCAAATGGGCTTCTGTTCCTGGGGAATGATGGAGGCAGGTCCAATGGCTTGCTGATCATTATGTATCCCATGTTTCAAATAATTATTCCTTAAAAATTTAAGTCCCACCAGGGACATTTAATATTTTATGTTAAGACACAGTTCCATAAAGGAACAGAGGAATTGGCTTGATTATGCGACAGAAAGTTTTAAGTACCAGGAATTCTGTTAGGTAATTTCTTTGCTTGAGATGCCTGCTTATATTCTGAGCATTGTATGGAGGGGAATTATTTAAAATGCGTAACATCAAGAACAATGTACAGTGGTTTATTTTCTTTTTGAGACAGAATCTTGCTCGTGACTGGCTTGGAACTCTGGACTGGTCTTGAGCTCACAGACCAACCTGCCTCTGCCTCCCAAGTCCTGAGAGTAAAGTGTTGTGTTACCACTTCCAGATAGGTACAGCATGTCTTGGAGACCCAATAAGGAGTTAATATTTTAGTGAGAGTCAAAATACAATATAACCATTATCAGCTTTATTTTGCACACGAACTAGCCACTATTTGACACAACAAAAGGCATCTCATTGTTAGTGAGAGTAGTTTCAAGTAGTTTCATCAGTAGTTTCAAGTGAAAACAGTAAAATGTTTTTAAAGTTCCATCAAGAATTTAGCTTATTCTAGATCTTTACAGCCTTGCTCTATAAGTATCATATATCACCATTTTACACATAATTGTATGAGTCTTTATTTTTTTCCTTTGGTCCTTTTTTATTTTAAAATTTTTATTCATTTTATATACCCACCACAGTACCACTTCCTCACTCCCCTTCTCCTGCTTTCCCCCAACTCACCCCCATTCACTCCTCAGAAAGGTAAGGCCTCCCATGGGGAGTCAACAAAACCTGGCACATTAAATTGCAGTAGAACCAAGGTCCTGCAAGCCTCTGGTCCTTCTTTAATCAGTAGTTTCAAGTGAAACCAGTAAAATGTGTGTGATGAAATCTTTGTTTTAGAAATCTGGAGGCTAGCATTCTCTTATTATTTTTCAGTTTGGTTTAAACTACAAAAGAATTAACCATTTAAAATACAAAAGAACCCTCCATTTAAATAACATTCTAAGGTTTCTTAATATTTTTTTAAATCCAAACACTTATCTAGCCTTATAGGTGGAAAAATTAACTTCACTTGAAAATGTTCACAGTAAATTGCTAAGCCATTTTGTGAGACGATGGCATACTTTCCAAAGTTCTACAATAAGACGGAATGCAGGTGCCTAAAGGCCATTTCCCCAGAGTAACACCAAGCTAAATGCAGAGCAAGGTGAGGATATTTGGAAAGGAGCTGGACTGCCTCATAAAAGCTTACCCAAAAGGAAATTCGAAATAAGCTATGTATGTTGCCGCCCAAATGTACCTGTTACTTGTAAATGAATCTCTTAATTTCTTTTAGTGACCAGTCAAGGCTGCCAGTGTGCATTCATAGTTCTTATGTTGTAATGCAGCCTTTGCGGAATAAATGGGTTAGCCATTGTTCTCTGAGGTTTCTTGTATAATGCATTTTAAAAGACAAAATATGCAATATTTTATCTTTTTACATTGAAATATAATGTACTCTGATTGTTCACAGCTATGGGATTATAGTAGACCTCCCCATCAATAGGAACTACTTAAAGACCTCTAACAAATTCCTCATTCCTACAACATGCTTACAGTCTGTCATTCACAGATATTCCTGGATCCTATAACATATTGTTCTTCATATATATATATATATATATATATATATATATATATATATTTATCTATGGATACAATTTAATTATGCCCAGTAAAAGACTAGCAGTAATAATTTACATTAGATCTTAGCAACCTCAGCATGTGTTTTTTGGTTTTTTGGTTTTTTCATTTTTGCTCACTTTAAGTCAAGAACCTACATCTTTTCATTTACAGGAAGTACTTTATGTCTTTTCTGGTTTCTCTGAGTTTTCAAAACCATTGCAGTTGTTCTCTGGAAAGCTATTAATGAAAATAAAGAAATGGGAGCACAGCCAGTGCCATATAATGGCTACCAACCCAAGATCTCAGACAAAGGGTAGAGAACAGAGCAAGGATACACTGGACAGAGGGATAATTCATGTCCAAGGATCGTTGAAAAGTGACTGATTTCATCACAACAATACTCAAAACTAGGTACAGTTAAAAATATTTAGATGTTAGTTTCTGGAGCATTCTACTTAACAGTTTTAAATAAAAATTGACTGGAGACAATCAAAACTATGGATAAAATGAAACTGATTTTCTACATTACATTTTATGGTTGAGGTTGACTTTTATGTTTCTTTTTTTTCTCATGGTGGAGTTTGAGCACTATTACAATCTGATCATACAAAATTGTTTGTGTATTCTAAATTTAATGGCTTCTGTGTGCTGATTGGCTAATACTCTGTTAGGTGTGGAGCAGGCTGTAGTCAAGAAACAGAGACTTCTTTGATATGAGACAGAATCCTGCAGGCTCAGCTACATCAAAGGTTATGTTCTTAACCTACTGGATGGATAAAACCATCTAAAAGAGCCTAGGAAAGGAATACTATTACAGACCACCTAGATGTTTGGGTGAGGGCCTCCAAGGATTTCAGAGCAGCTGTTCTTCACAAAATTAGAGGAAAATGTTTGAATGATCTGCCAAGGTATATAGCGCTGCTGGTGAACTGAACAATTCTGCATTTAAGCTATTGCTTAGAAATAGAAGAAAGGAGTCTCTAATCAAAACTTTCACATAAAAAAAACTGTACAAGTTTGATAGAAATGACAAAAATAACAGCTAGCAAAGATGGTCATGGACCAGATTCTAAACACACACACACTACAATGTGAGATGATCTGAGCTCCTTGTGGCAAGCCTGGCTGTTCAGTCTACATCCGTGTGTTCATTCCTCACCTGGAAGATGGTCAGAAATGTCAAAAGAACCTTTTAGAGCCAGGTTCTGCCCCATCTGTCACCCTCGATCCTTCTCCTAGGAAGATTATTACACAATACTAATCCAATCCCTCTCTTCCTTCTCCCACAAACCTGGAAAAGATCTCTAAGACTCACCACCTCTAACTCTCTTTGGAACTAATTTTGCATATATTGTCTTGAGTTCTTGGGGTCAAGATATTTTCTCTTAGGTTTCACAGATGTGAGTCTCATTTCACATCGTAGAAGCAAGTTTTCATGTTGGAACTGGGGGCAGAGTTCTGAGAACCAGTTTTCTGTTATCCCCACATTCTTTAAGTTATTTTTCTCTTGCACATTTTCATCTGTTGCTGTTCTCAGACATCCATATCAGATGCATTCAGCCTAAATAAACATTAAAACTGCATACTATAAGCTGTAAAAAAAAAAAACCTTAGTCTACCCACATAATCTCTGTCTTCAAAAGGCTTTAGAGATAGCATCCTCTTCTGTCTCCGAGTCAGTTTTACAGTGACAGTCACAGATAGCACTATAACTAACTCAGTACTTATGGAGTTACAAAAACAGTATAAAAATAAGTGCAACCCCAATCCCTGGATTAAATTTCTATTGATTATATACCACCAAAAAGGTAAGCACAGTTAAAATTGCTCCTTTCCCTTCACCTCTGTTCCTTCTCCCCTAACTCACATTTGCTTGAGGCTGCACGAAATGATTTATGAGTATGAACTCAATGCTCAAAATGGCACATTAGGTAAATGTTATTATGCTCATTTTACACATCAGAAAATAAGACTTACAAAAAGATAAAGGGATTTTCCTGGGTTCTCTATCTGCTGAGTGAATGTGAACCTCAGACTAAGTTAGAAAGACTCCAGACTTCATGCTCTCACTCACATCACTAAGCATCCTTATGTCATGGCAAAGAAAGGCATGTGTGTTCCCAGAGCCTATTGCTGAGTTGAGTTTTTGTTGTTGTTTTTGGTTTTTGTTTTGCTTTGTTTTTTCGAGATAGGGTTTCTCTATAGCTTAGGAGTCTATCCTGGAACTTGCTTTTGTATACCAGACTAGCCTCAAACTCACAGAGATCCACCTGTCTCTACCTCCAGAGTGATGGATTAAAGGCATGTGCCACCACCGCCTAGCTGCTGAGTTAAGTTTTAAACCCACAGAGCAATAAGGTGGTGTATCTTATCGGAATCATGATTTTACTTGGCAGCTCCATGAACTGAAAATAACAGTAAGAGTACACACACACACACACACACACACACATATGCATGCATACATACATACATACATACAATACATACATACATATGGTTTGTTTCTGTGATTGGTATTCGACTGCTGTTGCAATTCACAGTCCCATAGATTCATTGCTATGTTAGTCACAAAAGCTTTAATTTCCCTCTCTGTGCTCCCTCTAGTGGCTTGGGCCTCACGTTAGACCACTTGTTGGTAGTTAACCAGAAGCTCTTAGCCACCATATCTTAGTATGTCTTGTAGGCAGGACAGGTTGTATGTCGAAGGTTTTGTGGCATTAGTGTCCCAGAGCCACCACTGTAAACTTGTCCCAGTTATAGAAGATGGCCAGTTCATATCCTCCATTACTAGAAGTCTTTGCTAGGGTAACCATAGTAGGTTTAGGGGAGTTTCCACTATGCTAGGTTTCCATATCACCCCCTAAATGCTCACTTTCTCCAGTTGTCTCTCCCCATACTTTTCTTCCTCCATTC